AACCTGTGTATTTGTGTGAAATTCAGGTATGCACCAATTATTTTAAAGTGTATTCCAAGCATAGAGTATTATATAATAACTTTTCTTTAAAAATTAACTATTCAATTGATTTAGTGCCCAGAAGTTGCAGTAGGAGGCATCTACAGTGTTTTGAACAGACGTAGAGGACATGTTTTTGAAGAGAGTCAAGTTGTCGGTACACCCATGTTTGTTGTTAAAGCATACTTGCCTGTCAATGAATCCTTTGGTAAGAAATCCATATTTTAATATAATCTTAAGGGTTTTATTATGTAGCGATTTGTTATGATTTAGTTCAAGACTTAGATAAGGAAATAAGTATATTATGATTTTCTTCTAGTTTTTATTTAGTTAAAAATKTATTACTACATGATGGGTATTATGAGTCTTAAGAATACCACAATTTGCCTCTTTTACTTTGAATGGATAAAGTAATAGACTTTCCTTTAGTGGTAAATTAAAATTAGGTAAATGTCGCTATGTTCTTCAGGTTTTTATCTGATGTAATACAATCATTATACTACATTACCTATTTTTAAGGAATTAACTAAATAGATTACCACAATTTGCCTCTWTTACTTTGAATGGATAAAGTAATAGACTTTCCTTTAGTGGTAAATTAAAATTAGGTATATGTCGCTATATTCATCAGATTCTTATCTAATGCAATACACTCATATCACTACAGCTATAATTTGACGTTTATCATAGTAAATATCTTCCAGCATAAATGAATCACTCTGTAGTTAACGGGCGGGTTTTTATTCGTTCGTGAATGAGGACAGTGTTGAAAGTGCTTATGGAAGAAAATAATTTTGAACCAATTCATCAAAACGCTGTCGTAGAACCTCTATCCTTATGTTTGATGACGATTTAAGCTATGATGAACTGTAACAATTTTTATAATAAAATTAATTCATTTTCATATTTAACAATTGCTATTAAAAATTTTTATAGGATTTACAGCTGATTTGCGTAGTAACACAGGAGGACAAGCGTTCCCACAGTGTGTATTTGATCATTGGCAAATATTCCCAGGTGACCCCTGTGAAACTGGATCCAAACCATTCACCGTTGTTATGGTAAATTATATAATTTTAAATGTTAATATATTTTATTTACTATTTTGTATTATTTTTAGGATACACGTAAACGTAAAGGTCTTAAGGATGGACTACCAGACATCAATTCATACCTTGATAAATTGTAAACATAATATTAACTTTAAAATCGCCGCATTTTTTTTAATTATTATTTTATTGTTAAACGCAATAGTATGGAAGACTTAAGTGTTATTTCTTGATAAATAATATTTTTGTCTTGATTTTGAACAATAATTGTTTTACGTTATTAAAACAAAATTTAATTTTCTATAAGACTTAACTATTCTAAAAGAACTGATGAATTATGGTCAAGTTTTTCTCTTTCCAAATGTATGACAGTGTCTGAGTTTATATGATTGTTTTCCATTTTCAAAACATTTACTGAATATTATGTTTCATCAAAAAAGCGTTTGGTGTAACGCTGTGCATGTCACTAAAATACCTAATAAAAAATCATTAAATATGAAAATGAATTTTTTGTTCAATTTCACTTCCCATATCTTCTTAAACCTATAATTAAATAAATTATATTATTTCAATTGATAATATTATGGATTTTAGTAACTTATATAGTACATTATAATATTTATATATGTATATATATAATGTATAGTACATTATAATATTTATATATATATATATATATAATGTATTTTGCGATTGTATCGTAAACTGTAACTATGACATTAACATATTATATTTATCCCAAATATGACAATATTCATTGATCTAATAAATTTTGGTTTATTTAATATTTTTTTTTTATGTATTATTAAGTAATTTTTTTAATAAGTATAATAATTATACTTTAAAATTACTTAAGAAAGGTAGTTAGTTTTAACGGCCAAAAATCCATACACTGAATGAAGACTATTTTACTTTATTGGCTCAATAAATGTCTGACAATTTATTTGATCATCAGACAATAATGATACAAATAAATTGAAATTACCCCTTCCATTAGAACATGAAATATTATTTTTTTTACTTAGAGTCCAACTAAAAGTTTCAATAGTTAAATTGAAACACCAATAAACATGAAAAGTGTTTATTAAGTCCTACATACTACAACTCATTAAAAATCATTAAATTGTCAAGTCATACAAGTTGTAACTGATATCAGTAAATTAACAGATTGTGTCACGGTCTTAAGATAGATTTTGGGTTTTCTTAGGCCGTGGATGGAGTAAGTAAATCTTTTTTATTCAAAATATTTTGCCACAGTATCAGTTATTGAATCTATACTAATATTGTGTAGCTAGAGTTGAAAAAGTTTAATCGCGCTAATCTTAGGAACTAAGTACTAATTCGAATTTAAAATTTGTTCTTTGTTGGATTATCTTTTTTATCGAAAAAGGCTATATAACATTTCTAAAAAGTCCACAGGTTAAGTTGGAGCAAAAGAATTTTAGACAGCTATTTGAAAAGCCGTAAAATTATTACCGCGTATCGAAAATTCTGACTAGGTCGTGGTACTTCAGGGTGCGCAAGGTGACGGAGCTCCCTTACTGTTTTTATTTTTTTTTTACTTATAAGGTGAGGCCACTGGGGGACAGTACAAACTAATGTCAGAAATAATTTTTATTAAAATTTGGATTTTTAATTAATGTCTATTATATAAAAAATTTACTATTTTTGATATAATAGTTTAATAATTTATTATATCTTTTCTACACGGTTTAATATCTACAGCCGTTCTTTTCTGCGGTCCACAGAATAGATATGGTGCACAGATACAAGTGTGTAAATGGTAGGTACTATCTAAAAAAATCGGGTTCTGAACATAGGGTAAGATCTTACTCTATGGTTCCGGWCGAAATGTTATAAGTTTCAGTTATTACTGTTATGGTTATCATTTATGGACGTTTTGAATTTTTCGATTTTGCATTGCAATCGAATTTGACGTATTTTCACTTTTCGAGTAATGTTGTGTTTAATTAATTGTTAAAATTATAATAATTGAAGACATTAAAAATATTATAATATGTTTTCATTACAAATAACACATTCATACAGACCGGAACAAGATTATAACAATCAGCATTTTTCATATAATTAAATCATATTGTGTAGTTGAAAGTGGTAGGTATTCAAAATGTACGTAAGGGTGGTGTGGGGGGCAAAGCTTCCCACGGGTCTGCTTTAATTAATTGTGCACTTGGAACGCAGTTTTTAAATCGTTGGATTGAGTTCCTCTACTTAATTTTTCCCGATTCAAGTAATACTGTGTAGGTACATCTGAAATTCYTTAAACCAATTTYAGTTAGATCATCCACGGGAAGTTTTGAACATAACTAGCTGTGTATTAAATGACTAATTAAACAGAAATTTTGAATCGTATAGAGTTGGTGTTTTTAGTGGGGATCAGGCGGATCATCTAGTTATTCATCAAATATTTTAATATGCAAGTGTTTTATTTGAAATTTGTTAAGGGCGTCAATAATCAAAACTTTCTAAGATGTCTTATTGATAATAGTATGGAAAAAGGTGTTAGATGTTACAGTAAGTTAAGGACATTCGTACGGTGATTTTCTGTCTATCTAACACGTGTAACAGGATTTTAGTCATATTATTTTCCAAGTGTCCTGGTTGATGTGGTAAAGGGATAAGTGTTCTGAAAGCATTTGAATTTGACGTCAAGGCTACGTTCGAGTAGACTCCTTCATTTTTGAATTTAACTTCTCCAAAAAATATTATAACTTCTTTGAATTTTGGAGATAATATCAAAAATATTTGTAAGTCGATCTTAAGCSCTACCTTTACTTATTTAAGTAGGTAGTCTTGACGACAAATTCTAGAACAGTAAATTATGGGATCTAATCCTCTTAAATAAAAAATGAATTAATTTAAAACTATATTCAATTTTATCATTACAATAAATCATATACATAGTATACTACTGTTCAATTTATTATAATAAATATACAAAAAATTTCAAAATAATTAAATAACTTATTATAGTTAAATATTCATGTATAACTGTATAAGTAAGCTATTCTCGTTATCTGCAACTTTAAAAAATCACAAATCATCTCAAGTTCAGTTTATGATATTGGATCTAGACATCTAGTTCGTACTTTTGGGTGGTAAAAATCGAAAATTGTCTTTATTTTTAAAATGATCGAGGAAATCAAAAATAATAAAAAAAAATGTTTTAAAATTATTTAGTAACCTTGGTTAGACTGTCTTCACTTGGATTATATTTAATAAATTGTTGTTTTTTTTTTTTCTATAAATGTCAATATACAATTATACAWTCGGTCAGAAAACTTCCTCTTACACATTTGTATTATATTATATACTTACTTAAAAATATCAACGATACCTTCGTTGTTTTTTATAATATGCTTTTAAAGTTCAAATTTATTTAAAATCACCATTAATTTCAAATTTGTATTTAAGCTTGGGAATTGAATATAATGTCTTTTATACAAGTAGTTCATACTTTTATAGTTTTGTTAAAAAAAWTACTGATCGTTTCACGAAAGTTGGTATGCAGATACAATATTTTTACAAAAATGAATTCAACCAACCTGTTAGTGTTACCTAGGTACCTATATGGCTATATTGTATATATTACTGCATATAGATACCGTGATTAATGTTAAGTACCTACTTACTACCTATAAACAAATACACATATTTAACAATTTTAAGTTAAGAGGACATTATACCATCATAATACAACGTTGTCTTTATCTTACTCTGACGTCTCACGGGTTCGGAGTTAGACGTCCTCTATTTAATGTAGTGAATTGTACGGTCTGAAATTCTGAATAAATTATTTTACTCAGATAGTCAGATATGTTTCATWTAAAAGTTAATTGATATATTTATACAATTTAGAAGAGTATTATATCTAGTGAAGTTCTTAGGTTTAAAAAAAAAAATATTTTATTTATAACTTTTATAGTTATGCCAGTTTTAAAACATAGTTTGCTTTAAAATTAAAATTAAAAAAAAAAAATCATACGAGGTTCACATCTCACTTATAGATACCTAATACCTACCTACTCTTAATRTTACTAACAAATTTTATAATAGATTAATTTGCTCTAATATTAATCATAACAAATGGATTATTCAGAATAACATATATGCGAGTGTAGCGCAGTGACGTATTTAGGGGCGTCAGGGAGGGGGTAGGCTTGGGCCCCGGGTGGTAAATTTTGGAGAGCATTTTGATATAATACGGTACATAGGTCATTTGGGTGGTAAAAAAGTAATTACACTCAGATACTAATGAACTATCATGTTTTTTCTTACTAATACACTTATTGGCTATTGCTAAAGAAATTTGGAAGGTGGCGTTTTTTTTTCCTTACCTGGGAGTTGGGACGCAACATTACTAAATACGTCTCTTGTGTAGGGTCGTCTTAAATTTACACTACATCAAATATTTAAATAATCAAATAACTAACATAATTAAGTACTATAGGTATTAGGTACTTTAACTATACAAAACCTTTTTTCAAAGATAATTAAACTGTGAATAATATTATTTATACATATAATTATTATTATAGACGCTATTAGTTTTAATAATAATATGGTTTTCATTTATTTGTCACTCCTTTACAACTTCTCTGATGCACTTCTAACCTGTCCGGGTCGAATGTCCGTTTGCACCGATCGCACGGAACGAGCTGTGATAAGTACGATTTCCAGTGTTCTTCTCTGGTAGCCTGTTGGTTCACCTTGCCCGTCACTAAAACGTACCGCAACAACGTAGTATTATTATTATGTGACATTTTTAAATAATGTTTGAATCGATAAAATAATAAGTGATAATGAGATTTAAAGGGGCCCATTACAAAAAAGTTTAAGAAGCACTGTATTATGCCATAATATGACATGACTGATGAAAAAAAACATAGGTACCAATTTTTCAGGTATTTTGTAAAGCCTAAAGTTTCATACCTTGGTACAATTTTTAAATTTGTAAGCTACACCTACTTTTGAATGTGTGGAATGTGCAAACACTAATTTTGGAAATAAACATTTCTTAGTGACTACAATAAATTTTCAGTTTTGTMATTTTATAGAAAATTATTCAAGTAGTTATTAGGTACTAATACTAATACTAATTAAGACTTCTTTCAATACGAATAATACGTAGGYACAATAGTATATACACAGTATTAATATATTATGTTGTATAGTAATGTAACAGAAAATAAAATAAAATAATACCAATTATAAAATCTTAGTATGTAAAACTTTAAATTACCCATTGATTTACATTTTTTTTTAGATATATTTGACCACAAAATATTCTTATTTAGGTACATTGAAGTTTGARTTTTAATAACATATCGATTGCTTAAATCTTATTTTCTTAAATCAATACTGAGACTTATAATTTATGTGGTATAGAGTAGCTAAATAAAAAGTGGATTATGTCAAAATTCACGTTTTTGATATTCATTTTTTTTGTATTTACTTTGACCTYTCTCCCCTCCAAAAAAAYCCAACTAGAGACAATATTTTCTTTGAAAAACTAAATTTATAGATAGTGCGTATCACCCTACATCTGCTACTACACTGGCTTATTATAACATTATTATACATCGCATATTATTGTGTTACTGTTGGTACACAACTTTCGTCACACGACAGACGACGCACACAACGGTGGTATGACGACATTATATACCTTCGTCGATGATCACTTCCGGTTTAGTGGGCACAGGTCGTCGGAGATGTGGAGCTAAGCTATCGTTTTCTCGGGTCCACTTGATCAGACACTGAGGTTCGTGAATCCCTATGGATGCTGTCCCAAACAGTCGACCRCACACGTAACACGGCGCTGGTTTCTTTTTTGGTCTGTCCATGATCACGGCCGATTTAGCAGCTGGTAACTTTGGTGCCTGTCGAAAACGTTATGCATTATTGTTTGCCATTATTATATTACGCGTAAAAATKTATGACTTGACCAAGTTGACCAGACGAAACGGTACCACCTGGCGGCTGCACAATATAATAATATACATATATATGAAAATATTATTATTATATACGATCATCGTCCTTTCCGTGCACCTCGCTGCGTTGACGGTTTCTGAGGACTTATAACAGACTTAGGTTATCGGTCTATTATTATTATGCCTTAATGGCATAAATAATCGATGAATGAATTCGTTATGTTAATGTATTATATTCATATATTATAACGTGTTGTGTTTATAAATATCTATTATATGTATGCACTTAATAGCTATAACTACGACGTCACGATTCTTTAAATGTACCTATAGGTACCTACCTACCTACAATAAAATACGCGTATAGCGTTGATTAATGATGACTGGAATACGTTAGCTGTTCGGAATTCGGATAATAAGTTATATTAATTATAGGTATTATATTTTTAATATAATTTGACACTTTTACTGTGAAAATATACATTTTATTTTGGCATGTGAAATAATTTTGCTAGTGTTCTCGAGGGTGGTACTATTGACAGTGGTGGTCGTACGGGGTGGGGAGGCGATGGGTGGATCGCCCCCCCCCCTTGGTTAAGTATAAAATATAAAATTATTACATGAAATACATTTTTTTATGACTTCCATTTTTGAATACTTATTGTATTTAATGTGAAAAATATTTCCCCCCCCCCTGGAATTGGTCAAGGACCACCACTGACTATTGAGTTAACGATCGGTCATTTTCTATAATTTAATTCCTAGTATGAACATGGTTTATTATGTGAAATTTTTATATTTTTGTGTATTCTGATTGTGTAATGTATAAATCTATTTAAAAATGTGTCAAAGATGTA